CCCTGCAGGCCCAGCCCTCCATGCCCTCACAGGTAAGTAGCAATGCCTCAGCTGGTCGCTCGGGGGCAGGACAGAGCTTCGGGAGCAGAAGCTGCTCTTAGTCAAAGGAGATGCTGATTCCTCAGTTCTTCCCATAGGCTGGCATAGCTCCTGGGAGGTTGGAAAAGTTTTGATTATTAACACAGCCAAGCCGGTAATTAAAATAATAAATTAGAGAACAACATTGCAGGGGTGATGGGAGCCGTAGGGAGCTGTGTAGGAAAAGGAAGGAGTAAGAAACACAATTCCTAGGTGGCCACATAAGAAAGCCTGGGCCACATTCTCTTTTTAGTTAGGGTCACAAAGGAGGCATATAAGCGTTGGTGTTTTGGGCTCCCGACCCAGAGCTCTAGCCAAGGGAGCCTACCCTGTTCAGTGGGATCACCATGGTCAACACTGGGTTAATTGAAAAGAAAGTGGCTGGGGATCAGAATGGGGGTAGGAGTCAGGGATAGGGTGATGGTGAGGAGTGGGGGGGTCAGGGATGGGTTGAGTGTTGAGGGTAGGGTCCAGAGGTGGAGCCGGATGTAGGCACAGGTGGGGTGTCTGCTGTGTACACTTCTTACGTCTTGCTTACATCCTTCATACTCTGCATGTCTGAATATCCACAGTATCAAAACACCCTGCTCCAAGTTCAACCTTGAACCTTGGGATCCCAAGTGAAAGTTTACCAAAGCAGTGGATCTCAGGCCATGGTTATGAGTCCAATGGTCTTTGGAGATTTGAGTCAGAAAACCAGGTTGACACAGTTCTCTGCATTACCACTCTGTGAGGAAGGCAGAAGACGGTGTTACACAGCAAGGAGGGTGGCATGGGTCAATGAAGATGCAGGCACTACTATGTGTCTAATAAAAGGGGCTCAGATGGGAGGGGCAGCAGTTGGATTTTGTGATGTGTCTGGGAGTGAAACTTTTCTTGGTGGGGGAGTGGTAGGGGAGCCTTATGACAATGACTCTTCCCTGGGGAATTCTGGTAAATTCCCAGGGACTTTGTGGGCCGTTGGAAGTGGAAAGCTGTGATCTGCTATGGAAGACCAAGTCTCAGGATGACACAAATCGTCTGTGCTTGACTACTAACCTAAAAATTGGCAGTTCAAACCCACCCAGCAGTGTTGGAGAAGAAAGCCCTGATGATCTGGTTCCATAATTATAGCCAAGAAAACCCTAGGGAGAGCAGTTCTACTCTGTACCACAAGGGGGCGTTATGAGTTGGAATGGACCTGATGGCAATGGGTTTGGTTTTGGTTTGCCATGGGAGAAGATGGGCCAGCATTCTGCCCCTTATGCACTCTAAGGGGATCGCAGTGAGTCCAGGGGACGGACTCCACAGTCTGGAGACCGAGGCCAAGTTGTGATGAGAGCTTGGGGGCCATGGGGGCTTTTTCTGAACCTTCAAAAGCTGGCCAACTCCCAAAAGGGGACTGAGGCTCAGCCGAATGGGTCCCTGGGAAGCTGGCCTGAGGCCAGCCAGGCCCCCGAGCAAGGGTATTTTTAACTTGACGCAGGAAGATGTACATGGGAGAAGGTTCTCTGTTGCTGGTAGCTGTTCTGGTTCCACGCTTGCTGCCCATCTGCCTGTGTCGCCGCCCACTCGTCCTTCTCCTCACTGTTCCCGAAGAAATGCAAACACTGAAGAGACAGACTCCCAGTCTGCTCAGGTGGGAAGGGACCCCTGAGGGTGGTCACTGTATCTACTACCCACTCCCTCCTATGGCACCTCAGCGGCACAGGCAGAACATGCAAGTTCACAGCCCTTCCACAAATATTCTGGGTTTATAACCGCACAACAGCCCTAGGTTCTAAAGAGATGTGAGAACCAACAACCCTCCGGCCCACCAGTATTGCCCGCCCCTCTTTTCCTGGTCCTCAGCTGGCGTCTACACTGAGTCTTCACTTCCTCAGGTCCCTGCCTCCACTACTCTCCTGAAAGTGCTCTCGGCACAGCCACCAATGAAGTCTTTGCTGCTAAACTCAATGGCCCCTTTCTAGGCCTTACAAAACTCCATGTCTCCTTGGCCTTTAACACTGTTGACAACTCCCTGATCTCCAAGCTTCTACCACACTTGTTTCTCCTGGTTTTCCTCCCTCCTCTCTGACTGCTCCTTCTCGAGCTCCTCTGTGGACCTCTCTTCCTCCCACTCCCCCCGGGTGACCATCTTGTCCTGGTTTGCCTGGGACTTTCCTGGTTTAGCATTGAAAGTCCCGTATCCTGGGAACACCCTGACTCCTGGGCAAACCGAAAGAGCTGGTCACCCTAGACTTACCCCTGGGCCATGGGGATGCCGCTGTCTCATTCTTTTATCTCCTCTCTTCTTAATCTCCAGCTCCCCTGGGGACTCTCACCTATTTCTGTGACTGCCATCACCACCTGGGTGGGGACAATCCCAAGTCTGTGGTTCAAGCCTCTCTCCTGAGACACAGACCCATGAGCTAACTGCCCCCTCGACACCTCTACTTGGATGTCTCCTGGCAACTCAAACTCACTATGTCTAAATCTGCACTCGCCATCTAACGAGTTCAACATCAAATTATTCTTCATTTCTGTCTCTTGTCGCAAAAGTTATATATCCTGGACACCTCTCTCCCTCTCGACCCCATCCAGTTAATGTCCTAATCTTGTCAATATTTCCATCCCAACTGCCACTCCCATAGCGTAGGCCCCCACCGTCTTTCCTGTTGATCAGTCCAAAGTCTGGAGGGAATGTCTATAGTGGTCATTTGGGGATGGTTAGATATGGGCAATGTTTATTTTCTTCTTTATACTTTCTAGTATTTTGGAGATTATCTATAACCAATATATAAGACTTTTATGATCAGAAAAACATGCTTATGCTTTAAAAAGAAATCTGTACTCAGTAAGAATCGGAAACACTATCAGATTTATCTCTGAGAGCTGAAATCATCTACGCCCACACAGCTTAACGTCCACATCAACATGGCTATTATTCCACTGTCCTTCATCAACATGGCTTTCCTATTCCAGGAAACTGTTGCCCAGGAAGATAAAAGTTGCAAATAAATCTTATTGTGCGTTTCAGGAACTTTGCAGAAAAACATTTAAACAAACATCAGATTGTTCAACTTGTTAATAGATAGCATCAAATGACTATTTACACGCTAAGACTCTTGGAAACCCTTGCCTTGCTGTGCTCACCAATCCTAAAGCATTACAATCCTAAACTACTCTATGATTCTTCCCCATCTTAATAAGCTCCTGCATGAAAGACCCTCAGACCACATACGTATTTCGCCTTTACTCTCGCCTCTCTGAGATGCTACTAAGACCCTGCTGAGGTAGTGTTCTAGAACACCTTACCATGTTCGACCTTACTGAGGTAAGCAGGAAACTAGGCTCTGCCTTGGGAGCTGGCTGATTTGGTGGCGTTTTCAGGGAGCCAGCATTTGTTTTGACATCTCACATTCTGAAATACTGCCTTACTAATTATTATGATTGGCTGCTAACCTATAAGCTGGCAGTTCAAACCCCCCCAGCGGTTCTGTGGAAGGGAGGCCTGTCAATCTGCTTCTGTAAAGGTTATAGCTAAGAAAACCCTATGGAGCAGTTCCACTCTGTAACACATGGGGTCACCATGAGTTGGAATCGACTTGACAGCAGGGGGTTTAGTTTTGGGTTTTAATGATCTCACTACTTTTATCGAATGCCTTCTGTATGCAGAGACTGGGCTAAGCACTTTACATATACCATTTCAGGGCATCGGCAGAACAAACAAAGGTCTCTGGGTGGCACAAACAGTTTGCACTTGACTACTAACCTTCAAAGGACCCTGGTGGCACAACAGTTAAGTGTCTGGCTGCAAACAAAAAGGTTGGCGGTTCGAACCCAGTAGCTCTGCAGGAGAAAGACTTGGCGATCTGTTCCCATAGCGATTACAGCCTAGAAAGCCCTATGGGGCAATTCTACTGTGTCACATGGGGTTGCTATGAGTCAAAATTGACTTGATGGCACCTAACAACAACAACAACGCTAACTTAAAGGTTGGCAGTTCGAATCTACCCAGCGGCTCTGCAGAAGAAAGGCCTAGTGATCTGCTTAAATAAAGATTACAGCCAAGAAAACCCTATGGAGAGGTTCTATTCTGAAACACATGGGGTTGCCATGAGTCAGAACTGACGCGACAGCAATGGGTTTGGTTTCTGGTTGGCAGAACGACCCGAGCAGTTAAAAACTATCCCCATTTTGCAGATGGGAAAACCAAGTAAGAAGACTTAAGTAACTTGCCCAAGGCCACACCATTAGTAAGCAGCAGAGCTCAGGTGCATCTAACACCAAAGGCTGTGCTCTTAGTACTCCACTGCCTCTCCAAATTTAGTGAGATTTGACTGTAATACAAAATATACACACTCCCGTATCTGGTTATTTTTGGGAATTGGTGGTATTCTGCTCCAAATTACCCAGGTAATTGCTTCAAGAGGACAGGCTCTATGCTCATTCTGGAAGATCTCACCCAGGCAGGTTTCCTGAGAGGAGTCGCTATAGAAACCATTCCCTTTGCTGGCATCGGCAGCCCCAGCCCCCCAGGTCTTCTTCTCTGCCCTAGGCCTGGAGAACGTTAACCATGAAGGGCAAATGGACTTCAGTGGAAAACAAGCAACTATTTCAGGCAGTAACATTTCCCACAAGGCTCTGGTGCAACAAGTTAGTGGGGAAGAAAGAGTTGGACCCTTTGTACAGCGGGGCTGGAACACAAAGCTCGTTGTTATGTTTATGCATCCTCTATTCAGATGGCATGTGGTAGGGACTCCATGCCAACCTGAAGACCGGATTCTTTTCTTCCCCCTCAGTAGCAAATGTACATATTTGCCATAAAGTAGGCAGAACTTGCCCATGGGTGGTCTTTGATTTGGAAGAAACCAACTTCAGAGTGGTGACTCACAAAAAACAAAGGTGGCTTGACTCATTCAGTGCTCGGGGAAGGGGATGTGTGTGCAGAATTCACTTACCCAGAAGAAGAAGTTGAAGACAAAGAGTAAATACTTCAGATAGACAGTCAGCCAGTCATCCTGCTGGCCCTTGTAATGGGCCATGGTTGCTGGGCCTGCAAAGAAGACACACATGCTTGGCTTGGGAATTCACCTGGAACAATCTCGTCCAGACTGTTGCCCCTTCCCACAGCCAGGGCTTGTTGGCAGGGTTCCCTTCAAGTGGTTCCAAGGGCTTAAAAGTCTGCCTAGCCAGGTGGGTTTGAGGCTGTGGGTGTGCAATATGGAGCAAAGACTGGGAAACATAAAGGCTTTGGACGCACAATGCAGGTGAATTTGGGCAGAATTTTCTAGACCTTGGCTTTGGATCTCACTTTTGCCCTCTCAAAACAGGCCTAACCTACACTTTGCATTGGCCAGTGCATTCTTACCCTCTTCCTCTGTCTCATCAGGTTTGCATGATGCATGTTTTCCTGTCCTACACAGACACACACAGACACAGACACACAGACACACAGACACACACACACACACGACATACTGGTTTTGCATTGGAAATCTGTACTCTGCACCATTTAAACAGGACCTCTGCATGCAGAACCGTGGGATATGCCCCAAATCAGAAAGTCTACGCTGGCAAGGACCTTGATGACCACCTAGTCCCCCCCCACCTGTCTTCTGTGCCCTGACTTCCAGATGAGGAAGCAGGCCAGGACAGGCCTGGTGACTTGGCAGAAAGAAGTGCAGACCCTCTGGAGTCTGACCCCCGGGTTCAAACTCTGATCTGCCTCAGGCTGTCAACTCTCATTTCCGTGTCCTCATCTGTAAATGGGGATAATAATGATATCTATGTCATAGAGCTGTTTTGAAGATGAGATTAAAAAAGTCTATGTGAGGTGTTTAGTACAGTCCTTGACACATAGTAAGTACTCAGTAAATGTTAGCTATTATTATTTCAGAGTCACTGGGTGGGGGAAACAGTTAACGTGCTCAGCTGCTAACCAAAATGTTGGAGGTTTGAGCTCACCCAGAAGCACCTCAGATGAAAGGCCTGGTGATCTACTTCTGAAAAATCACCCATTGAAAACCCTATGGAGCACAGTTCTACTCTGATACTCATGCGGTCTCCATGAGTCGGCAGCTGGTTTACTACTATTACATGTCATAGAGCTGGGATTAAAAGCTAGAACTCCAGTCCTCAGACTCGCAGTCTTTGCCCAACACCATCCTCCCACTTCTTGTCCTGATGCCCACTGATGGGCTTGCTTGGAACTGTGATGTCAATGGTGGTGATAAAGGCAGAGAAGGGCCACTGTGCCCGGTAATGCTGTTTTCCTCTCAATGGATCTGAGCAACAGTCTTTGTGGTTTCCACTTCTCCTCGAGCTACATGTCCCCCTGTGCAACCACTCACTCACACATGCACACTCACAGTTGCACTTTTAAAAAACTGCCCCCCTGTAGGGAACCTCTTTTGTTACAGAATCCTAACAATGAGTTATGGATTTTGCCCATTTCCCTCTTTCCCCATCGTTCCCAACCCCGATTGTGCCCTCCTTGCCCATCCCCCTGCTGCTTCTCCCTGGCTGGTGCTGGGTCAAGTCCAAATTACTTCCTCCTGAGCCCCTGCTCTGCCTTTTATTTCAAGCTCATGAGCTCATGGAGACAGAAAGAAAGAGAGAAAAGAATAGGTGGCTGTCTTATTTGGGGATTTCTATTTGCAGACCTTGAAGAAGGTAATTTAAGATGCTTAGTCTTCTTGTTAAAAAAAAGACAGAACTCATTTTTCTCCGATTTAGTTTGAGAGAAAAGGTGGTAGAAGAAAAAGAGAAGGAGGAAAAAACGAAGCCTGTAAAGAAGTGTAAAAAATGGTGATAGATGGACTAGCCAGGCAACTGGGACCGGAGCTATTACACGGTCATCTGTAGGCAGCCATGGCAGGAGACGGGTGTCAGGATCCTCTTGGCCACCGCCGGCCCTTAGTAAAGTCAGAGTTGCTTTGGGGCCTCAGCCTCTCCTGTCTGCATTCTATTCTCCCTTTGCAGGCCCCTCCCTCCTGACCAGGTCCCACTGGACTCATGCCACGGAACCCTCTCTAGACTCTGAGAAAAGGAACCCAAAAATATATGCTGAATATATGTTCACACCTGTGAACGTGACCTTGTCTGGAAATACCTTTGACACTGTTATCAGTTAGGTTAACAGGAGGTCATACTGGAGTCGGGTGGGCCCTATTCTAATATTAAAAAAAAAACTAGTTGCTATCAAGTCGATTCTGACTCGTGGCGACCCATGTGTATCAGAGTAGAACTGTGCTCCGTTGGGTTTTCAAGGCTGTGTGAACTTTTGGAATTTGATTGTCAGGCCCTTCTTCCAAGGCACCTCCGGGTGGGTTTGAACTGCCAACCTTCTGGCTAGCAGTCAAGCACTTAACTGTTTGTACCACCCATGAGGCCAATTCCAATACCAGTGGCGTCCTTACAAAAGAGAAGAGAAAGTCAGAGGAAGAGGAAGGACAACCATGTGCAGATGCCTCTATAAGCCAAGGACACCTAGACTACCAGAAGCTGGGAGAGACAAGAAAGGATCTTTCCCTAGAGCCTTCTGAGGTATCATGGGCCAGCTGACGCACTGATTTGGACTCCCAGCCTCCAAAACTGTGAGACAACACATTTCTGTTCTTATAAGTCACGGTGTTTGTGGTATTTTGTTACGGCAGCCCTGGGAAGCTAATACAGGACCCTGTAATGGAAAACTATTTTTAAAAAAGAGCTTCAGGAAGAAGGCAGAGATTAACAAAAAGAAACACATTTCTAATGGTGAAATTTCAGCCATTAGTGGTAGAGAAGATAGAACCACAGAATGTCAGGGACAGGGGAAATCTTTGGGCTCACTTAATTCAATCCACTATGAGTTGGAATCGACTCGACGGCAGTGGGTTTGGTACTGGGTCGGGGTGGGACCCTAAGAATTTGCTCCTGGTAGGGTGACCAATCATCCCAATTTGTCCAGGACTGAGGGTTTTCCTGGAATACCAGGTTTCTGTGCTAAACCTGGATAGTGCTGGGCAAACAGGGACAGCTGGTCACCCCACTCCCAGATGATACTGATGCTGCTGGTGTAGGGATCACACTTTGAATCAATGTTCTTCAAGGCCCCTTCTAGTTCTGAAAGTCCATGATCCCTGAAATGTAATTCTCCTTTATCTGACACAGACATAACTGGTTGGGATGGGGTGGTGCACAAGGGTGGGTGTAACCTCTCATGTAAAATCCACATTTAGGACAGAGTTCTTATTGAGATGCCAGATTTTTCCAGGCAGCCTGGTAATGCAGCCTCAGGGGGCCTTCCCCTCCAGGCCAAGGTTCGGACTACAGAACAAAGCCAGGATTCAGGGGCAGCCAGCAGGCCTGGGGGCCGTTAATGCCACAGTTGAGACACACACCATGGGACATCTCAGAAAAGCAACCGCAAATGCCTTCATGATGAAGTGATGTATTTTGGAGACTTTTATCAGGGCTGGATGTGTAATGTCATGGGCTGTGAGACTTCTGGGGTTACTGTCTTTCCTAGCTCCCCACCCCAAGTGAATAAGTCTCAAAGTGCAGAAAAGAAGAGGAAAATGTTGAAAGAACCCAGCTGGCTGGCCAGATGTGCCTGGAACTCCCAGCGAGCAGGGCAAGGCTCCAGCTTGGGCAAGCGCCCAGGAGAGAGTAGGCTGCAACCAGGCTGTTGGGTGGTGGGCACAGCTGAGCCCTTTAGAGGTTATGGATTGAATGGTGTCCCTCCAAAAAGATATGTTGAAGTCCTAACCCCTGGTACCCATAAACATGACCTTGTTTGGAAACTGGGTCTTTAAGATGTTGTCGGTTAACATGAGGTTCCACCAGGGTAAGGAGTCCCTGTTGTTGTTTGTCAGGTTGATTCTGACACATAGCGACCCTACAGGACAGAGGTTTCCTAGGCTGTAATCTTTACAAGAGCAGATTGCCAAGTCTTTTCTCCTGCTAAGTGGCTGGTGGGTTCAAACTGCCACTGATCTGGTTAACAGCTGAGTGTTTAACCATTGTGCCACTAGGGTTCCTTCAAGGGGCTGAGCTGCTAACTGAAAGTTCGGATGTTTGAGTCCACCTGAGGTGCCTCAGAAGAAAGATCTGGCAATTTACTTCCAAAAATCAGTCACTGAAAACCCCATGGATCACAGTTCTACTCTGACACACATGGGATTGCCATGAGTTGGAGTGGACTCAACAGCAACTGTTTTTTTTTTTTTTTAATATCAGAGTAAGGTGGGTCTAATCCCATCTGAGTGGTGCCCTTTAGCCCTTATAGATGAGAAGAGAGACAGACAGAGGGAAAGATAAGAGTTATGATGTAGCTTCAAACCAAGGAATACCTGGGGCTACCAGAAGCTGAGAGAGACAAGATTTTCCCCTAGAGACTGCAGAAATGGCATGGCCCTGTTGACATCCTGAATTCTGACTAGCTGATAGAACTATGAGACAATAAATGTCTGTTCTTATAAACCACTCAGTTGGTGGTACTTTGTTACAAGAGTCCTAGGAAAGTAATACACAGGAGACTGGCAGCAGGGGGTGGGGAGGGCTTGGGCACTGCTTTTATAAGTTGCACATAAATACATGGCATTGTCAGCCCCAGCATGAGCCACATCCTTCACTCACTCAACAAACATTGATGGAGTCCCCACTATGTGCCAGGAACTGTCCTTGGAACCACTGGACTTAGTCCTTAAGGAGCTCACAGCAACCATCGGGGATGGGACACACGCATATAATGACTTCCAAACAATATGGGGAGCACTTGAAGAGAGATGTTGGCCAATCCTGCTGGTAGCACAGAGGAAGTGGATCAATTCTGCCAGATTTGGAGGGAGGGGGTGGTAAGTAAAAGGAAGGGGCATCTAATCTAGCCCTTGAGGACAGGTAAGTTTGCACAGGTAGTCAAAGAGGGAAGGGTGCTCAGGCAGACCTCAGGGAGGATGGCTGGGCATGATGCACTGGGAAAGGCGGCCCTGTTCAGGTGGGGTTTGGAAAAGGCTGGAAAGGTGGGTTAGGGGCCCTGGAACAATCCTGTGGACCACATGCAGGTGGGACTTTCCCCTTTCCCCACACTCAC